TTATGGTTTGTTTGCCAGCCTGTGGTGCAACTAGGAGGTGTTAGAACGCTTGGAAGATGGGCGAGTGATGGAAGCTAGGTCATTGGGAACATGTCCCTGAAAGGATAACTGGGACTCGTATCCCTCCTCTTCCTCTCTTTTACTTTCTGGCTTCCATGGGGTGAGCAGCATCCTTCGCCACACAGATGTACTCCTGTCACAATGTACTGCCTTGCCATGGGCCCAAAGCAACTCAATCAACTGACCATGGGCTGAATCTTCTGAAACTGTGAGCCAAAATAAACCCATCCTTCTCACGAGTTGTTCATCTCAGATATTTTGTTATAGTAGTGCAAAGCTGACTAACACACAGAGCACTCCTACAATCAGGAGTAACTTGCTTTTGATCCTACTGCTAGTGAGTGACAGGAATGAAACAGGAACCCCCACCCCCACCCCTGCAAACACCTCATCCACCTGCTCATACCTAGAAGCCTCTGTGTTTGGCAACTGCTTCTCTGAGGCCTCACTCTGAGGCTGGGATTCAATTACAGCAGGTAAGCAGAAAGGAGGAATGAACTAGCAAGGGCATGAACAGTACACCAGCTTTCCTTGGTTATAGTCCCAGGCAGACTTACTCTGAATTAATTTCCTGTACAATTTGGCACATATAATTTCATTGCTATGCTTCAGTTTCCTTGTCCACAACATGGACATAACCAATGATATTTAGCCATGGGATTGTTTTGAGTACTGAAGGACCTACAGCATTTTTAAAGCTCCCACCAAGGCCTGGCACACTGTAGATGCTCACCTGAGGCATGCTGTTATGTCAGTAGGATCACCATTTCCTTAGTTTGAGATTCAAGCAGGGCTGGTATTCTCACCATTTATAGAAAAGGAATTGGAGCTTCCAAGAGGTGAAATAACTTGGCCTTGGTCATTGTATGAGCAATAAACCCAACTTGTTCAACTTGGTTCAAAAGAGAAAGTGGTACAGTGGAGGAACATTCTCTAGTGGGCACCACAAAGCCTGAGTTTGGTTCTGAAGCTGCAACTACTGACCCTTTTAACACTGACTCAGTCACAGAGTAACCTTTCTGAGCTTCAGTTTCTTGACCTGAAAGTGGCTTTTTGCGAGATCAGGAGAAATTCTAGTCCATGTGGATGAAACATCTCCTCCAAGTCCTGTTTCCATCTATGGTTGAAATTTCTTACAAGGTAACTTTCCCCTTCCATGCCAACAAGGGATAAATTAGGAACTTTTCATTGACTTTCTTCCCTTTCTTCCTCCCACAGGTGACTCTCTTGCACTCACCCCCACAGGCTCAGCCTAATGAGTCATCCTCGAGCAAATGGAGTCAAGGAAAAGAGGAAGAAAAGTACTTAGATAATTGAGTTTTTTTTTCTTTTTCCTGTACTACCAAAGAGCTTTGTTCACAAACCACTGTTACCATGGAAACACTTCTTCTTTGCTCTTTATTGGGAAGGAAGGCCAACTTATTCTTAAAACCAATGAATCTCTCATAATAGAAAGCAGAGTGATTCTACTTAACTCCTCATGTAGACAAATGCTTGTTGACAAAGGCCCTTCATCTTATATGGAACAGAAACAGGTGCCACTTTGCCCTCCCTGGTCCTCCAACAAGGACAGGTTCATCATGACAAGCAGGGGGTTTTGCCCATCCTAAGTGGCCACTCTGGCTTTTGTTTGCATTTAAAATGTTGAGTGGGAGCTGGGGATGTGGCTCAAGCGGTATCGCGCTCGCCTGGCATGTGTGCGGCCCGGGTTCGATCCTCAGAACCACATACAAACAAAGATGTTGTGTCCACCAATAACTAACTAACTAACTAAATAAATATTAAAAAATTCTAAAAAAAAATAAATACATAAAATGTTTAAAAAATAAATAAAATAAAATAAAATGTTGAGTGGCTTGGTCTATTTCTTTGTTGCTATTCTCTTAATCTGAGAAATTTTAATTGGGAATTAAACTGAGATTGCTAGCTGAATTCCCAAAATGAATTCCCCAAATCCCCAAAATTTCCCCCTCCTCGAGCCCCCAGAAAAAAAAAAACACCCAGAGAAGGCAACTACAGATGGTCCTGAACCTATCATCGTTCAACTTAGCTTTTTTT